AGGGCGTAAGAACATTTACTGTGCTTATCTCCGTTGATTCAAGGAGGGTTCTTACCAATGAGAAATACTAATTCGCCAGGCCGATGAACAGGGGGCCCAATTCTGTACCGAACTTTTTTAAGACCTCTTCTCTTCCGGCCTTCCAGTCAGCTACCAAGAACAGGCAAAGGATATCTTCTCGGGTTTGCAACCTTCGTGATCTCGTTACGATCCAATACCTTTGTCTCATATTGAGAAGTGGGAGATTCTCAACAACATCACAATCTCACGTGTCAACAGAGATACGCCGACTCCACCGACTACTCGAAATGTTACTATCGCTGCTCTCGTGAAACGCATGGAGTCCATGACATCGACGTCTACCACTCCGCCGCTTCGCTTATTTCAGTGTTACGTTTGCTGATTCGATATAAACCGTAGTGGCCGTTGTACCGTGACAAATGGCAAGTGTGGCATTAAAAGCCATACTGCAACGCGAAGGGAAAACAACACCCCTTTTTTCATGTAGCAATTGCGCTAGATCTAATCATCTAGCAATCAATAGTCCGTAGTAAAAGGGCCAATATTAAAGGAGATTTTTCCATACTCTCGTCTACCACATCACAGTTTGTTGCGTCGGTTAAGAAAGCCCATATCTCCCGTATAGACACGATCAAACACTATACATATTAACATGAGGACAACCTTTTTATTGATGGTGGCGTAACAGATAGCTACTTAAATATACATTCCAAAGCTGGATAAAATGCAGTTTAAACGGGTAAGTACCCCTTATTATTAGCAGACGGATCTACTACACTTATTACGGAGCGGGGCAAACTACCAAATCTTGGCATGTCGTGTATCGGTGCAACATCGATCCAACAACTGGCCTCCCAATACGTGCTCCAGGATAACGGTCATAACCTTGTTTTCCCCCAGAATACACACCAATGCATCATCTCAATGGTGACCATTTCCTGACTATATACCAATTTCAAGGCTGCTATCACGACAGCTTTGATACACAACTAGACAAGTTCTACTAGGTTGTTGGTGCGATCCAAAACATTTCACTAGTCCCAACTTCCTACACCATCTCCTGCCACACAAGCTCCCGTGAATCCTAGCCCCCCAACTACCTTGACTCCGGCTACCCCAATTCCCACGCTTACATCCCCCACTACATCCCTGCGTATGCTTTGCCACCCACAAACGATCCATTCACATCCACCACACCCGCCTCAGTTATCACTGAAATGACCTATGATGAATCAATACTTGTTACCTCAATCCTAAGGTTACTAGTCAAATGCCGTAAAACTACACAAATCGATCCACCCAGTCCATCAGCCCAAACGAATGCATGGCAATTGAACCCTATCGATGTAGATCACTTAGAGTCCGAGCCTACCATTGTTGATTGCGTATCCAAGACTAACACACAGTTTCCCCGCTATGCTGGTCCCGATGGTTCCGGCCATCCACACTGACTGTGGAGAGGTCGACTTCCTTGCTGAGAACGCTTATAGCAATCCGAAATGGGCTGACATATACGAACTCGCCCACAAAATTACGAAGGTCGGTGCCAGTGCTCCTATAGCCGCCTCACTCCGAACTTGTGCCATCAAACTACCTTTTCCACCCGTTTTCAACGTGCTTCCTGCATCATCCACAACATCGTCTCAGCACTCCTTCGACGTGGCACCACCACCGTTACACAGTCGTCGTATATCTATACTATACAGCTATCTCCCATCTACATAACATGACCGCCGCTATCTTTCATACACACACACACCACGAAAGTCTGCCCAGTGCACAGAATATGGAAAAACACCTTGGCATACCCTTATGTCCGATGTTGACTCTGTCCTACAAAATGTTAACCTCAAAACATGCCTCGCTTCCAAAGGCATCGTCGAGCCACGTGTTCCCCCTGCCCCTCTCCCCCTCCCCCCCTCTCCCTCTCACCTCCCCCCATCAAACAGAAATGAACGCCGTCATTGAATGTCAACACGATACGCTCAATAAGCTTGTTCGCTGCCTACTTTGGGCTGACACTCTTCACAGCCAGACCGTGTCTAAAGCTTTTAAGCATCTCTGCACTCGCCGCATCTAATACAAAAAGCAACCCTCCTATTCGATTGCGTCGTGTCATGCACGAACCAAAAAAAATCGGCTCCAAAAATCCACGCAATCACAAATACGCATCCCAATGTGGCCTTGGCGTTGTGCTTGGTGGCACTCTGGATGGTACCGAGGACACCTTCTGTATCTAAAGCTTTTCCACTCAACAACAGCCCCGCAGTCGGGACGGGTTTTAGGGTTTTAGGGTTTAGGGTTTTGGCCAATAGTTTCCACGCAACTCAATCAGATAATTCTTCTACATTTGCTATCTTAAGCGACTGGGCAACTGCCGCAATTCACATCCCCCATAAAATCCATAAGTTCCTTATACGCGGACTGGCAAAAGTCCACTCTGTCGCCCCGACGAATACGCCCATATTCAATCTCAGCGATGCAGTCGTGACGATACTGGCCCTAAAAGTATAGCAAAAGCACTCGCATCTCCAGAACGTTCCCAGTGGCTTGCCGCCATCAACCGTGAACGCCAAGCTCATGCACATATCCAGCTCGCTAACATCTTCCTCTCTTCCGACGTACCCAAATCCGCCAAGGCTATTCACTCGAAATACGAAATCACACGCAAACATGACAAAAATGGTACATTAAATATTCACAAAGCCCGCATGATGGCTCGTGGCGACGAACTACATCATGGAGACTCTTGCTGGCACACTTACGCACCAACTGCTTCTGTCGCATCATTTCTTACCTTCTGTGCCTCAGCCGCTTTAAACCGTAAGAGCTAACAACATAAACGTCAATATGGCCTACTTGTACTCTAAAGACACCCATGTTTACAGGCTTCTCCCCAAAGGCGGTTTTGATCTTTGGAACTAAATCCCTATACACTGTCTTGAAGTTATGCCGCGGTCTCTATGGCCTTAAGCAGGACGGCCACCTTCGGCACCAAGACATCGAACGCACTTTTACATCAAGACGAGAACATCTCTCAGATCATGACGTTATACTCCTCTGTGTTGACGAAATCGTTCCTGCTGTTATTGTGGCACCACTGACGCTGCTTGGCTCTTTTCTGCCCTCGGCCCTACTTACAGCATGAAAATCTTTAAATTTGGCACAGAATCTTGTGGACCTGCACACTCTCTATCCACCGGACGGCAGCATCATCCTCGTGCAAGATAGATACATCACACGCATAGTCGCCACTTTCCGCACACAGGATGACCTTCCCATCCGGGTCTAGTTTTCATCCCGGCGCATTCGTATGTCTCTCATTCTCGGTCATTATTGATTTGGGTTTGCAGTGAATATGACCAAGCCCGAAATCGCCTGTGCTTTAAAGCAACTACCAGTGTTGAGCGTCGCCTCACTGGTCCCATACTACAATGCGCTCCTCCGTACCCTCCACTACCACGATGCCTCTAACTCTGGCCCTCACATACAACTCATGCCCTGACAACATCAGCATAAGCTGATATCCGCAGGCCTACAATGATTCTGACTGGCGCCGCCTCATCCACAAGTCACATACAGGCACTCTCATTTGTGTTAAAAAATGAGTGACTGACATCAAATTGTAT